CGTGCGAGGTCCCTGATCTGTGCTCTGAGGGGCGGTCAGTCAGGCGGGGCCTGGGCCAACCAGTAAGGCAGATGAGGGTCTCTGTCCTGGGGGGCTCACTGCTCCTGGGTGCCCCAGGAGATGTAGTCTGGCCGCGTGGCAGCATGGTACTCGTCGATGAGCTGCTGCACAATCTCCCTGGACGTGTCCAGCTCGTCAAAGTTCTCCTTGAAGATGTCCTCCTTGCGGAATTGCTCCAGGAAGGCCTCGCGCTTCCGCAGCTTGTCGTACTGGCGACAGGTCCGCTCAAAGAGCTTGAGGTGTGCAGAAAGCAGGTGTCACAAAGAACTTTGAGGAAAACTACGGCCCAGAGAGCCAGGACACCAAGGTGGGGCTATCTTCACAGTAAAAAAAAGCCAGAAGCAGAGCATCGGGGATGCAGAGAGGTGAGGCACAAGCAGGAAAATTATTATGGGATAATAGGTGCACACCATGAAACTCACCGAGGAGATGCTGGTGTGGTTGGCCATCATGAGCCCGCTGACCCGGTGGGCAGAGGGCAGGTAGGGAGACTTCCTCGACAGCGCCACCTGGATGCTGGCCGGGCCCCAGGGGATGAAGTTGGCCAACTTCCGTTCCCGGATCCTCTGCAGGCTCTTGTGGACCTGCGGTGGGCACAGGGGTGGTGGTGGTCGCCTCTCCTCTACCCCTGCGGGTTCCAGGGGTGGAACGAAGGGGCCTCACCTACCTGAGTGGGGTCCACCTCCCCCTGGATGATGTTGAGGATGGCGATGTAGCAGTGGTTGGTCTGGCGGTCCCGGCCGGTGGACACCATCACGTTCTTGGGCTGCAGCAGCCGCCTCATGACATCCAGGACCGTGGTCTTCCTCACGCTGGCCACCTGAGGGGGGAGAGGGCCACAGGGGCCAGGCAGGACTCAGGGCGCGGTCCACGGAGGCATGGACAGAGAAGAGCCGGCAACACACGCCCCCCACCAGTTTGGGGCAGTCTGGTCTCTCTGGGCGGCAGTGTCTTTAGATTGATGTCTGGCCTGAGCCTCTGCTGTGGGGTCGGCAGCCTTAGCCATCCTCAGCTCGGCGAACTCGTGCCCCTGTGCGGGAGCCTAAGAGGGTCCTGTGCAGCCCAGGCCCGGCAGGGAGCCACAGGCAGCAAGGAAGTCGTCCGGTCTGCGCCAGCCCCTGAGCACAGAGCCTCCTGGGCCAGCAGGGAGAAGGGAAAGGCTAGGTCGGGCCTCCCGGCCCAGGGGCAGGCGGGCCCGGGACACCGAGGGCTCTTCTTACCGACTGGTCCGTGGTGAGGGGGGGTGTAGCCAGTCATGAGGAAGTGGAGCCGTGGTGTGGGGATGAGCGAGGCGATGAGGCCGATGAGGTCGTTGTTCATGTAGCCAGGGTAGCGCAGGGTGGTGGTGCTGGCTGACATGATGGTGGACACCTGAGCACAGGGATGCCATGTCATGCTTTTTGCCTCGGGGGGACCTCCCTTCCCCAGGTGGCACTGCAGCAAGAATGGGCTCCAGTCCAAAGGAGCCCAGGCGTGATGGCTCACCAGCTGGTTGATCTGGGAGAAGGACGGGTTCTGGATGTGCAGGCGGTCTGTGGCGATCCGGTTCAGGGCTGTGTTGTCCAGCACCACCTGGGGGGGACAGAAGAGGACAGCAGATTTTGGGGACTTGAAAGAACAGGAGCTCTGCCTGCGCCTGGGCTCCGAAGTTTAATTTCCCTTGAGCCTCATTGCCAGAAAGACCCATCCAAAGGGGACTTGCACAGTAGTGGGGCACAGGAGGAAGCGTCAAAATGGAATTTTTAAATGCATAAAAATGATGAAACAGAAAGCGGGGTTGAGAGTCGGGAAGCATAGAATCCAGGACTCACCACACAGTCTGCGTTCTGGGTCAGCCTCTTGAGCGTGAGCAGTGAGTTGTAGGGCTGGACCACCACGTCACTCATCTCGTCCTGGTTGGGAAACACTGAGTATGTCTGCACCAGCTTCTTGGGGTATCTGGTGGGGTTTGGGAGAAGAGGGTCAGTACATGGGGCTCCCAACAACTTTCTGCAAGCAGCTAAATCTGGATGAGGAAAACAGTCTGGGGCCGTGGGATCAGTAGAGAAGAGCGACTTGACTTTTGGAAGTCTATAACTTTCTCAAGGGGTGAAAAGACATCTTAGGATCTAAGATTCCAACTCCAAGCCGTCCAAACTCCCTGAACCTCCATCTCTTCATCTAGACCCGGATTCTAGGCCTCGGTTCCAAGCCCCAGGAGTGAATCGGGTTCTCAGTCATCGTATCGTGACTCTCCTCCCTCCAGGAGGAGCTAGAAGGTCCCTTTCCTGCTCCAGTGAATAGGAAGGTGTATCTGGTGGGACTCCCAGTTACTTGGGAAACCAAGTCCTCCCAGCCCCTGAAAACACAGACATACCTGTCGTTCAGTCGTTCTAAGAGATAGGAGCCCAGGCCGGAGCCAGTCCCCCCAGCGATGGAGTGACACAGCACGAAGCCCTGCATGGGAAAGAGGCAGTCAGTGTCTAGGTATCTTGTGGCAGGATCTCAAACTGGGCCCATGCCACAATTTCTCCGAGCCCTATCTTCCCGAGCCCTCTCCTCCCCTTCCCGCACCCCACACATATTGCTTCAGAGACTTTACCTTATTTCCTGGAAGGTCTGGTAACTTCAGTCCAGTGGAAAGTGTACATGTGTGTGTCTTGTACCTAACAGATGGCTTCTAAAGGGTGTTACTGAGCCTTCCCTGTGTTGGTTCCCACCAGCATTCCTGAGACACTTACCTCTAGGCTGTCGCTGCCATCTGCCTCCCGGTCTATGATGTCAAAAATGTCTTCATGGATTTTCTCTCCCTGTACAGACATGGGGAGGGTCAGAGAGGCAGGACCATGAGGAGGACTCTGACATCAGAATACCCACCATTGCCCTGGCTGTGTAGCTCAGGTGATAAGAGCGTTGGCCAATACGCCAAGGTTGTGGGTTTGATCCCCGGTCAGGGCACATCCAAGACTCAACCAATGAATGCATAAATAAGCGGAACAACAAACCGATGTCTCTCTCTCTAAAAATCAATCAATTAAAAAAAAAGACTAGCCACCCCTAATTCTCCATATAGCACCTAAAAGTCCTCTTTTGGAGCACAGTGGCCCTGCTTTTTACTTGCACTGAGAGGCAGTAGAACAGTGGTTAGGAGCGGGCACTCTATATCGAGACTGCCTAGGTCCGTGCATTAGCTCTTGCCGAGTGACTCTGGGCAAGTTACCTGATCTTTCTACAGCTCAGTTTCCTCATATGTATAATGAGCATAATAATACAGGTTCATATACCCTCATCTAAAATCTTTCAGGCTTGGGGTTTGCGATTCAAATATTTCAGATTCTAGAAAGGTAGTACGGTACATATAATGTATGTGCATTAAAATGCCAGTGGGGGTCTGAGGTGCTAATCAAATACATTAATATCTCTGCAAGGAAAGGCATGAGTAATGACAATAAGTTGGATAGAAACTATAAAATAGCCTGTCTTCATTGAGAGTTGGTTTGCTGCTAAATGAGTTGTAGTCTTTTGCTTTCAGAGGATTTTTTTTTTTTTTTAATTCTGGAAAGGCAGATAAGTGTCTATGGGTTGTTTGGGGGGGTTAAATAAGTTAAAATATGTAAATCAGTTAATATGGCCTGGTACACAGCACTAGCTGGTGTAGTCTCTTAATAATATTCCATAGTTGACTTAGAGAAAAGCACTCCCCTTGGAGTCTCTCTCTGCCACTCATTCGTCCGCTGTCTGATTTCGTCTCTCGGGGGCAGTCACAGGGCCTGCCTCGACCCAGGAAGGCAGATGCGGGTCCTGCCAGGGAATAAACAGCAAATGACCTGGGAGAATCCGCTGGCCCAGTTGTTGCCAGCGCCTCCTCCGTGCTCGGACAGGTAGATGTTCTCCGGGTTGTAGAGCTTGGCGTAGGGGGAGTTGAGGATGGAGTGGATCACCCGGGGCTCCAGGTCCAACAGCACAGCCCTGGGGATGTAGTGCTCGTCGTCTGCCTGTCAACGGGGACGGGGAAGAAACCCAGTCAGCGAAGGCTGCCGGTCCTCGTGCGTCCCCCCTCCTCCAGCCCAGAGGGTTTCCCAGCACCAGGCCGTTGCCCTTCCCTTCGAGCCCCCTGGCCGAGTCGCTGGGAGCACCTGGTAGAAAAAGACGTCCTTCCGGTCGGTGCCCTCAGTGGCGAATTCCTCCACGATGCCCTCGGGGCTGATACCATGCTCGGCGCACAGCTGTTTCCAGAACTCGAACCCAACTGGGGGGAGGAGAAAGAGGATATCTGGGTCTGGGCAGGTTCCAACTAAGAGCTGGGGAACTGAGCGCCTGGGTCCAGCGATAGGCAGTAAAGCTCCAGGCGCCTCCCCTGGCCGAGGAAAGGGCTGTACGCCAGCGATGGGGCAGGGAAAGGCCCCTCGTGGTTGGGCAACTGGACACTGGGTCAGGCGTGTCCCGCCTTTACGGTCCTGGGAAGGGCAGATGGGAGTCTAGGATCCCATAGAGAGAGCCCATTGAATCAAAGGAGCCTGGCTAGTGGAGGGGCCGGAGGTTCGCTCACTCTGATTGCCGCACTGGCCCAACTGAAGGGTGATGATTTCCCTCGGCATCGCTCCTCAGGAACCTGCGTTGCGGCCGCTCCCGCTAGCCAAGCCGCAGCTCGCCAGCCCGCTCACCGCACGACGCAGGCGCCAAACAACCCGCTCCGCCCCCAAACTTTCTCCGCTCCAATGACAAGTGAGTTCTGGCGATGGCACTTCCTTATTCATTTGGCTTCAGTCATGCATACTGCGCGTGCGTACCTGCGGGTGGGGCTCAGTGCCCGGGAGTAGGGGAAGTACTTTGACGCAGCGTTCTTCTCTGCAGGTGGACGCGAGCACGAGCCCGCGCGCAGGCGCAGTGTCGAGGGAAACCACTTCCCTCCCCGCTCAATCGCGCGGCTGCGCAGTTGGTGTTATTGTGATTGTCGGGCCGCGGCCCCGGATGTGGTGGCTGCGGGGGGGAGATGGCGGAGGCTGAGAGGGTGGCCGCGGCCCCAGGCCCAGTTTCGGGCCCGACGGTCAGGGGCCGCGGCGCTATGTCAGGCTCCTTGGAGCGCGACCAGCAGGTTGAGGCGGCGCAACGGGCCCTGGTGAAGGTGCTGGGACCTTACGAGCCTCTGCTGAGCCGAGTGCAGGCAGCCCTTGTGTGGGAGCGGCCAGCCAGGAGCGCCCTGTGGTGCCTGGGGCTGAACGCGGCTTTCTGGTGAGAAACTGGACCCTTGGAAACCCTCCGAGGCGCGAATTCGTCAGGTTTCTCTGGGGCTCCACCTCTCGCCTCCCCTGTTTTCTGCGCTGCACTGGCTCTTTCCTGTCCCTGCTTAATTTTGCCTCACCTCTCTCCACTCCCGCCTGCAAGCTTCGCACCGCAGTTCTCCGCAGCGCCTTCCAGGTGTCTTCCCTGCTATACCCCCTCCTGCAGCCTTGATCTGCACATCTGGCAGGCGCTTTTGGTAACATCTTGAGCCGCCCGCGGTGAGCGAGAGCGCCTCGCTTTAGCCGGGGAAAGTCGTGTCCTTTGAGGCCATCACCTTCTTTCTCGTGTCTGCTCGGATGCGGTTTGAAGACTCCCCAGAGATTTTGGTAGTTATTATTGGGGTAGGTGCGTGAGGTCTTGCAAAGGTGTGATAAGAAAATCAGCCCGAGCAATATGAATTAGAATGAGCATGTTTAGAATTCTCTTCGCTCACTCAAGGAAGTTTGTGAAGTCTGAGCGTCAGTGAGAGCCTCCAGAACTGCAACTTGAAAGTTCTGAGCTTTTAAAGAACAATTATGAAATAATGATTGTGAGATTTCACCCGTTTGAGAGTTACTGAGGATTGCATCTCCTCCCTGTTCCAAAGAATTAGACATCTGTAGCCATGGTTTAGAGGCAAGGAGATTGAGGATGTCTAATAGTGTAAGTTTTCCTGAGCTGGAAAAGTGGGACTAAAATATACTTGAAGAATCTATGTCATGCTTTGTTACAGTGGAACTGCTGCTTCTCTCAGTTGTCGTTACCTAAAGTGGACTTCGGTCTTCATAGGACCTGCCACTCATATGTAGGGAAGTATTATTGATCAGATTCCCCGGGAACGGAGGTGTAGGGGCGGGGCTTATGCACCTGAATGAAATGATAAGACTATTCTGGATAAGCCTGAAACAGAACAAGGTATGTGTTCCCAAACTTTTTTGTTTTTGCCCAAAATAGCTTTCCCGTTAAAATTGTTGGTTTTAAAACTAAAACATTTATTATCTTTTCTCTGGAAGGAGAATTTGTCAGCTGGAGCAAAACATTTTTGAGTTCATTGACAGGAAGATACAATGTTCAACTGTTAAGTTAATCCTCTCATAGTCTGGAGGAGACTCAGGTTAAAGTTGTCACAGTAGTTTCTGCCATTCGTTGCTTCCAGGGCTTTTAGCAAACATGATGATAAACAACTTTTTTTTAATAGCATTATTTTTTTTTTTTTTTAGTGGGGTAGTGCTTCTTCCTTGATCCCCTGGTACCGACTTCTGTCTTGTTCTCTGTAACCTCATTCAGGAGGGTTTACCAAAGTGACCTTTTCTTTGTTCCTTATGTGTTCCCTTCCCAACCCCAAATCCCACACCATCCAGTTAGAACTTCATTTCCCACATTGGGATTGTACTCCTATAGAAAAAAAAGTTGGTCCTCAGTAAACCCTTTTGTATCAAAATGTGACTAGCTGATATATGAAAACTACCAGGATTTCAATGAATCCTGATTAACTAAGGGTTTATTAATGTACATGGATCAGCAGCATGAAAGTTTTTATTTTTGGGGAGGGGACTTTGTGTGTGCCCCTAGCCTGAAAGAGATTTTTGGGGTAGAATACAGGTGGAGGTCTACATATAAGGAGCTGCTCTTATTGACACACATCTTTAAATGTTACAATGCTAGCGCGACAGTGTTTACTTGTATTAATATGCTGTGTTTAGAACCTCAGATCCCCTTTTCTTACTGGCCTCCTAAAGCGTTGTCGTTATTGGTCTTTATCTCGGGCATTTCCTGATAGGTTGCCTGCTGTGTATCCAGAACAGTGACTTGTTACATTCCCATCACACTCTAAGTAGGTGGGGGAGAAATATAGCAAAATGAGGGTGTGACTCTTGACACCAAAAGCAAATGGATATACTATTTACGGAGAGTACTCATACCTGTGAAGGTTCCAGAATGACTGATAGTGTTAAGGCCCCAGAGGTTAATACGGTGTGGCATTGGCAATCACAGAATTGTGTTTTGTTTTGTTTTGTTTTTTTGTAGTAAGTGTGTTTCCTGCAATGTAGTTTGAGGTTCAAATTGAAAGATAGACTTAACATTCCAGTAGCATCCTATTGAATATGAGTGTTGTTATTTCACTATGGAATGTCAAAGAGTGTTTAATTCGTGGACATTTTAAGTGTTGAGGAAATGAGGAAGGGTCATTGGCTCAGGTCAGAGAGAAATCATCTCATTATTTGTTTTGAATAATGACACATCACTAACTGAAGTGTTTTATACATTTTGAAGTTTTAGATGATCGCGTAGGGGTACAAAAGAATCAGAATTCAGGAAGGTGACCTTTTTTGTATTCTGTGAGGGTTTTTCTGTACCTCTGAGTGTGCCCTCCTATGTCTTAATGAAAAGACGACAAAAGAGAAATAGATGTAGATGCCTTACTACTACAGTATTCAAGGCTTTCACCAAAACAAAAACACAAAAAAACACAAAACAAAAACATTCATTTTCAGAGAAATGATGGTGATTACATCAGAGCTCTTCCAGCCCATTTGGCTTCTGGTCACTGATATATTGTGATCACTGGGATAATAATAGTCATGTCAGGCCTTCATTTCCAATTGCTTGTATTTTGTTTTCTTTTTTCTTTTTCTTCTTTTTTTCTTAATTTTTTCCCCCAATTGCTTGTGTTTGTTTTCATTATCCTCAACACCACCTATAAAAGAGTGATTTGGGGGAAGAATACGAGTATGAGTCAGCAAGAGTGTATCCTGACAGGATCAGAAAAGAACACGTGTGAGTAACTCTAGTTTGACACAGACCTAGGAGATATGGGGGGGACAAATGAGCCCTGGAAATGCGTGAAGAGCACATAGTCCAAGGGGGGCTGAGGGCTGCTCTGAGCTCCTTTCCAGTTTTCAGCGTTCTGTGATTCTAGGTGGTCTTTCAATGCAGACTAGTGATTTAGGGCGATCCACAGGCTGCTTTCACGGTCCGCAGTCTGAGTTAACCTTATCGTATTCTAGGGAATATTATGGAATCTATTGTTTTCACCAATGGAAAAAACCAAAGTGCCCCCCCCAAAAAAACTCCCCAAATTAAAAAATGACCCCAAAAGTGGTTAAAGTTATATAGCAATGCTGATTTAAAAGGTTAGAATTTGAGTAAAAGTAGTGAGGAACAGGAAATGGAAGGGAGGGCCCATTTAAGTAAAGACATTTGTTCCGTGGAAAAACATTTACACAGCAAATTTCAGATGAAATCTGTAGAGCAAATGTGTCTGATGATATATATAGTCTTTAGAGGGTTTTTGTTTCTTTTGGTGGCCAAGAAGACTCCTGAGGATGCCTTGGCCTTTTTTGTTTGTTTGGCCCCTCTTTTGCCATCATTTTTTATCTGTCCTAATTATAAGTTTGGGTGTTTTCTGTTCATTAACATAAGGTAGGTCAGAGCAGCTAGTCGATTTCATTTCTGGTTTTGTGCAAGTGGTAACTACCACCACCTGACGTAGGTTGGGTTAATTTTTTTTACATTCTAAATTACAGTGACTGGCTCATTAACTAGACAGCCACAAGTGCTGCACAATAATGGGCTTTCTGTCCCTATAGGATGAAACGCTTTGTCTGAAGTGCCACTGAGAAACTTACTTCGCAATTACAAAGGAACCCAGAAATAGTGTCTTCTTTGATTGAAAGTAGCCATGTCATCTTTATTTTGTTTGATTGTAGCAAACTCCAATTTACCTGTACTAAAATGAGGTCCCATGGTATAATTAGCCTAAGAGAAAATGTTTAGTTTTGGAATTTCGTATGATTTTTCTGAATACCAGATTGTTTTTCCAGGAATAATATTACTTAGGCTGATAATTAATTGGATTTTAGCCTCTAATAAAGAGGATGGACAGTTTACAAAAGTACAAATAATTATAAATCAATGGATATAAAATTTTACTCTCATCTCTAATAAAAATTCTAATGTAAATGCCAATGAGTACTAATTTCTGCTTCTCAGGTTTTTAAAAAAAAAAAGTATTTAATTTCGGGGCAAATGTGGAAAGATTGGCATATGATAGATAGGAGCATAAATTTGACAGCCTTTCTGGAAAGTAATTTGGCAACATGTATTAAGAAACTTAAAATATTAGTAAGTGTTATGGTGCTGGGGAAAATGGGGAGTGATTGCTAGTGGTTACGTGTTTCTTTGGGGTGATGAAAATGTTCTCAGATCATTGCAATAGTTGTACAGCTCTGCATATCCTAAAAACCATTGACTTAGACAACTTACAAGTAAAGTTTTACGGTATAGAAACTATATCTTAACACTGTTAAAAAGAAAAAGTTAATGCCTTTTGACCTAGTAATTCTACTTAAAGTAGTTAATCATAAGTAACGACAAAGAGTCATGCTTATTGATGTATAGTTCAGCTTCACTGTATTACATCAAAAATTGGAAACGTCCTTGTTCAGCTAGGGAAAGGTTTAAAAGACTAAATGTATATATGTATGATGTTATCATTCTAAAAGTTTCTGATGCTTTTCTGGTGCTAAAGGAAAACAGGTCTATGTATTGTTAAATGAAGAAGGTTTTTAAACCAGATATGCCATATACTTCCATGGAGTTAATATACGTGCTGTTCTTTGGTCTTTATGTGTGCATATTTTTTTTTTTAAGGAAGAGAATAACCTGTTCACATTTTGGGGTATATATGTGGATAATGGGTTATTTAAAAAAACGTTTTAATGGAAACTCTAAAACATACACACAACAGAACAGTATCGTGTGCCACCATATACCCAGCTTTACGCATTTTCACTTGATGGCCAATTTTGTGTCGTCCACACCTCAGTTCTTTTAAACCTTCTCCTTGAATTGGAGGTAAATTCTACATGTCATATAATTTAATCTGTGCTCCAGCATGTGTCTCTGAAAAATAGACTTTAAAAATACTACTACCACTGTCACAAGTAAAAAAAAATGATTTCAGTGTTTCAATTTTCAATTTTCTCATAAATGTCTTTTTTTTTTAAGTAGTTTATTTTGGTTAGGATCCAAACTAAGTCCCCATATTGTGACAGATTGCTCTGTTTTTTACATCTCTTTTACTTTGCTGGTTCCCTTTGAGACTTTTCTCTTTGCATTCTGTTTGTTGAAGAAACCAGTTTGTCCTGTAGCGTGCTGTGCAGACTGGGTTTTGATGATTGCATCCTCACCCATGGCTTACCGCATTCCCCGGTGCTCTGTATTTCTGGTGAATTGGTAGTTGGATCTGGAGGCTTGATCAGATTCAAAACAAATTTTTTTTTTGCAAGTTAGTGTATTAATTTTATTTTTATTTTCTTGATTACTTATATTTTCTAAACTTTTTTCAGTGAACATGCTTGCCTTTAGAAGTAATAAAAATAAATAAAAGGAAAAATTGATTGTGAGCCCACAATAGGTAGGAGTAATGGCCTGTGTATGGGCAGTGAATGCCCAACTTGAGTAATTCACATGCGAGTATCCAGAACTGACTGCATTCGCTGTTGTTTTTGCTAAGTTGGAAAGTTCTCATGCTGATTATAGTTGCTGAAAAATGTTTTGCATGTTGTCTTATCAGACTTGTACACTGTTAAAGCTGCATGTAAATTTTTGGGCCTGTGTGAATAAACATTGCAGGATTAAACTAATCCAGAGGAACATTCCCCTTATTTTCCTTCCATCCCTTAACTATACCGGTCTCAAAAGTACTTTGTCTTCAATTATGTCTGTCCTTACAAAGAGTTCCAGAGTTTACAAGTAGGCTTTCAGGTTACCTCCATAAAATGCCAAGCATAATGTGACCCTCAGGATATCCAAAACATACCTATTGAGAATGGTACTCCCTTTTTGTTCAGGAATTTCATATGGAGCGCTGGTAGAAAAGGAGCCCGCGCTCATCCGTTTTCTTTGATAGACCCCTGAGGGAGCATCGATATTGTCTGGTTTCCTTGGAGGGGTCAACTCTAGTAGTTTGAGGTGATCTTTCTTTCTTCCTTAAAAAAAAATATTTATTTATTTATTTTTAGGGGGAGGGGGAGGGAGAAAGAGAGGGAGAGAAACATTGATAGGTTGCCTCTCACACACCCCCAGCAGGGGACCTGGGCAGCAACCCAGGCATGTGCCCCAACCAGGGATCAACTGGCGACCTTTCGCTTTGCAGGTGGGCATTCAGTTCACTGAGCCATGCCAGCCAGGGCTGATCTTTCTATTAATTAGGTTTTTATCTATATGGAGGAAACTATTTTCCCAAGACATGTTATTTTATACCAAACAAAAACTCCTCCTTTTAAGTTTCTGCATTGGCTTGTTCAATAAAAGGATATATCTAGTCCTAAAATTGACTTATGGACCAGAATTAATCTTGTTCAAGAAGATGTTAGGCTTCATGTCCGAGAAAATACACCCTTTGTAAAACTGTTTACTAATCCACCTTCAAAAATCCAATACCCTTTGTCATAAAAGGCGCTTCATGTCTGACTCCTGCCTCTCGCCCCGTACTCATTCCCTCCCTCTGTTCTTTATGTTTCAGTTCTGTCAAAGTACTTGTCTTAGATATATCATGCCAGCTGGCAGTTCTCCCTATCTTAATGTCATCTCCGTCCCTACATCCTTTGGCCAGTGTTTTCTTACCATTTGTCTGTCAAATTCCAGCTTACATGTCCTCTTTGTTATTATCACCACATCAGGTTATATTGCAAACACACGCACACAGACACGTAAGTACACTTGAAAGTAAAATCCACGTCTTACTCTTTTCCATAACTGGACAGTTTACTCGTCACTGGCATGTAACAGGAACTCAAATGCTGGTGGGATTGAGTTGAAGCATAGGTGGGGGGCTGTAACAGGCCACTAAAATAGTCTGGGTCTTAGAGGAACAGTATTTTTATTGGTATCATCTTTGGAAAACCACCTTTCTCAGGAGAGCTTAATATCCTTCCCTACTGCAGTTTGTATTTGTGTTAGTAATTATGATCTGGGAAGCGGAGATTGCGGACAGTCTGGATGGCCTCCCCGGAGAGCTGTTGCAAGTCCTCTGGAGAAAACAGCGACCGTGCCTCGTCCCACTACTGGGTACAGAAGCAGCAGCGCTGGGGAATGGGAAGCTCTAGAGCCATTATCCTTGGCCTTGTTAAATTTGCTTGTTTGTTGGGATGATCTGGCTTTGGAGAGAGAAGTTAATGGCCTGGGGCAGCTCTAGAGGCTTATTCTGTTAAGTCGCTCTCTTTCTTTAACTTCATGTATTATTACAATATCCTGTAAGTAGTCGGGTGGAAAATTGAAATAGGGTTGTCACTGGTGACTGATTTCTAAGTTTTTGTTTCATTCCATCCCAGTCATTATATTATTTCATTCATAAATATTTTAGTATATACGTCTAAAAGATAGGGATTCTAAAAATAACTTCCATAACATCATCACACCTAAAACAATGAACAATTCCTTAATATCTTCAACTGTGCATTCAGTGTTCAGATTTCCCAGATTGTTTGTAAATATCTATTATGATTAATTCCTTCAAAGAAAAACTAGCTTTTCCTTCATTTTGTTAATGTGATGCCTTACATTTACTGATTTTTGAACACTGAACCACCCTTGCATACCTAGAATAAATCCTAGAAATTGATCATGGTATATAATCCTTTTAATATGCTGCTGAATTGAGTTTGTTAGTATTTAATTGAGTATTTTGCATCTGTATTCAGGAGAGAGATTGGTCTGTGGTTTTTCTTGTAATGTCTTTGTCTGGCTTTGATATTAGAGTCATGCTGGCCTCATAAAATAAATCAAGAAGCGTTCCCTCTTCAATTTTTGGAAGGTTTAAGATGGATTGGTGTTATTTCTGATGAACTGGCTTTTATTTTATTTTTATCCTCACTAGAGGACATTTTCTTCATTGCTTTTGGAGCGAGAGGTAGGGAGAGAGAAACATTATGTGAGGGCAAAATATTGATTGGTTGCCTCTGGTATGTGCCCCAACCAGGGATCAAATCGGGAACCTTTTGGTTTATGGGACGATGCTCTAACCAACTTAGCCACACCGAACAGGCCTGAAGATCTGGTTTTTAGACATAGCTTCAGTGCTTTCTTTCTGGCCTTGACAAGTCATTTTACTTTTGGGGGCCTCAGTTCACAAAGGATATCCAATAAAATTAAATGCTCTAATGCATCTCTACCAGTTTGTTGCCTTATACTCAGGTCTAATTTGGTAGAAAGATGTTTGCTTTTATCATAACAACTTGTTTCAAGGGTGAATTTCTCCCTGAAATTAACAGAATCACAGATTTAAAAGTTGAGAGGGTCTTTAAGATGGTATTTGGTGTAGTTCTCTACCTTTATAGACGCAAATTCCCCATAGTTAAGATAGATGAAATTCAGAAAGTTGAAATGATTTTTCTCAAGGTATATAACTAGGACTTAAGTATATTTACTACAGAGCCTGTAGTGGACATACGGTCTTTTATGAAATTAGTTTAATTGAGTAATGACCTTTCTTCTGTTTTTCATTCTCTTTAGGTTCTTTGCACTGACATCCCTTCGTCTTGTTTTTTTACTTGCATTCAGCTCAATGATCATAGTGTGTATAGATCAATGGAAGAACAAAATCTGGCCAGAAATAAATGGTGAGTTTGGTAGCATTTAGAACACTCTGAACTGGAAATGGTCTTCCCTATAATTTTTACCTTTAGTTTTGGGGGTCTATGAGGGGGTATGTGGAACTGGGAATATCTTTTGATGTTCGAATTACTTGCTTTAGGAGACACCTGGAGGACTAGTGCTCCAGCTGCATGTAGTTCCATAGAACTGAGTTCTGCCCTTCCCATTGCTGAGCCCAGGAGATCTCTGTTGGCTGCCAGAGAGAGCTCGCCCTCATAATGGGCCTGAAGAATAAGCAGGCCTTAAGTAGTCCTCAAGTTTTTACAAGATAACTCACTTCATTGGATACTATGTCTTTACTAAGGCAGTATCAATTTGCCTCAGGAATTTCTTTTAAATTGTATATTTTAAATGCACATAAATGCATTAAGCAACGCATTATGATTTATATGAAGTATTCTAAGATGTGGTTCCTTTCTCAAAGGTTATACATACATAAGAAAATTAAGAAAGTTATAGAACAGTGCCAGAGATGTCGTTGTTCAGCTTGTGATCAGTATGTTTGTCCTGTATTTTTGCCCTAGCTCAAGCCTTCAATGAAGCAAAAGATTTGGACAGGTAGAGAGAAAACTGTTTCCGTTAGTCTGAGGAACCAGAAACTGCAAAGTGTCTCCTGAGACCAGAGAATCGGTAGTTTCACAGGAGTGACTAGGTCTTTAAAAGGAGTACTAGGAAATAAAACTGAAAGTATGTCAGGATTAAATTTTGTAAGCCTCTAAAGTTGGAAGTTTGGGCTTTATCTCATAGGTACTAGGTGGGCATTGCAGATTTTTAAAATTAGAGCTATAGGCTGAGATGCTATTACAGATTAGTTTATGATAGCATTTTACGGGACTACATGGAAGGAGAAAGCGGGAAGGAGGGGGACCAGATAGGAGGCTGTGGCAGTATTTGTGACAAGTGGTCAAAGAGGTGTCTTCGGAAACAAATGCTGGCCAGCTGGGGGAGCTGTGAAGGGGGAGGGCGCGTTGTGACCAATAAATAGGGGTAGAAGAGTAAGCGCTAACCAAGTTTGGGATTTCAAAGCGAGAGCAGCAGGAGAACGGCATTACAGTTAGCAGATACCGGCAACGGCAGGCAGGAGAGCTGGTTTGGATGGGGAGTGAGAGGGAGGAAAATTGGTACGGGTTTTGGACATGTTAATTTTGAAGTGTTGGAAGGATATTCAAATCACAGTGTACAGCTTTTAAATACATTCCCATCCTATTTTGCAGACTTCCAGGGATCATGTCAAAAGACTTTACATCACTCATTGTAGTTAATGTGTCCCTTTTTTAAAAGAATAGGCAGATTTCTAGGGTTGGGGTAGTTATAACATGTCTTGGTAACTTGGTGCACGTCGATGTGTTTGAGCAAACCAGATACACTTGAGGGGCGGGATGAACTATTTTTGGGTGTACCTTGGCTCTCAGCTTCAGTGATTAGAAGAAGCCCTCTTGCTCCATTTGGATCCTCCCTGTCCCCTGCCCCCCGCCCCGGCTCTGCTGGAGAAATGAGCAAGCATCAGGCATCATTCCCTTGTCTGCAGCTCCCTAACTCTGGCAGTATAACACAGTGTCTCCTTTTTATTTTTTCCCCCAAACCTATTAAAACTTGAGCAGTCAGACCAACAGCCTAACATTTTCATGTTTAGTTTTCCCCACCAACTAATGCTGGTGTTTGTTTTAATATTGTAGTGCCAAGACCCGACGCATTAGACAATGAGAGGTATGGAATACTAATTAAATCCATTTTTGTTGCTCTGATTGATTCTCTTGTTGTGATATTCTGGTTACATGTTGTTAACCCTATGCTCTGGACAAAGTGTAAGCTGAGAACCTAGTCTGTTCCAGTAATCATTTTAACAAATCCTAAAGTTCAGGCAGCAATATGTTGAGATGGCTCATGTCCTCTGATATTTAAAAGAGAAGTTTCTGAACATCTTACAGTGCCCTGTAACCTGACATGCCAAGGAATTAGCTGCATTATCCAGCCGTAGTGTGAAAACCAAGAGGCAACTTACTTCATTTGTCTCCTGGTTTTTATACTGGGTCATTTAGTGTTTTCTGTGACCTCTGGTTCCTTAAAAGTTCCCTGGTCAGAAAACACATTGGTTCCTGGCATCAGCAAGCCAAAGATTCCTCTTGTGTCTTACAGCTCCTGCTTTCATTTCTCAGTTCATTCATCCCATATGTGTGATCCAAGTACTTTTCTCTGCTATGGTTTATTTTTGGTTTTGCTTTATTTTCTCTCTGAGGGGCATATCCACTGTGGCCGCCTCCTCAGTAGCAGCGGTGTCAGACTGCGCTTTACTTTTATCCCTGGATTGCGATCACAGCGAATTGCAATGGCTGAATGCAGGGTGACGTTTCTAAGTACAAAGGTCCGTGGAGCTGGTGGCAGGTTTACACAGGAGGATTGGGCTATCTGCTCAAAGGGTTGAGTTGTCAGAACAAGTCTGCCCTCGTAGTCCCTAAATTCAAGTTTCAACCTGGTGAGCCAAGAAGAAAGTCATGCTTCACCTCCAGAGCACCTGGGACAGCCACACCCCTGTCCCTGTTTAAACCCGGAACCATTGGCTGCCTACGCAGAAAGACGAGGGAACCCTCAGCACCCTCCTTTCATGGCTCCCCCTTCTCTCTCCATAGCTGGGGCTTTGTGCACCCTCGGTTACTCAGCGTGCCCGAGCTCTGTCACCATGTAGCTGAAGTCTGGGTTAGTGGGACCATTTTCATAAGGAATCTTTTGCTTTTCAAAAAGCAAAACCCAGGCAAGGTAAGACTCTTCCCTTTTTCTCTTTCATTCCTGGCTCCTCAGTTCAGTTCATGCTCAACGGAAATAAGCCTTTACTCTATATCCAAAGAAAAGACCATGACTTTTGTAGAGACAGAGGCAAGTGAGAGGAAAGGACCTCTGAGCAGCCGCTAGGACTAAAACAAGAACTTGATGACTCCTTTGGGCACTTGCCACTTAGATTAGACCCTCTTTCTGCCCCAAGGTGAGAAAGAAAGCTTTCTTGTGTGCATTCTGTGTCATATTAAACATGTGGTAGGTTGTTGGGTTTTATTTATTTTTTTTTTTACTTAAAAAACCCACCACCAACACTTTCAGAGAGAATATTTGGCTAAGTCCTATTCAAACCAGTTTTGCAGCATGAAAAGTGCAGCCCTCAGGGCTCGCCACATAGAAAGAGTTTGAATAGACTCCCAAAGAGAATCATCATTGAATGCAAAGTGACTAGGTACATCTGTCATTCTGATACGTCCATACTTTACTCATAGGTCATAAAGAATGATTTCAGTCACATCTCTGCCTTACCTCCCTTCTTTACCCCAGTCCCCTGCCATGTAGCAGAAACTTAATCCTGTTTCCTGACTCCCCCAGTTCTGCTTGCTGAGCTGTGGGATGCTGACCTTTTTGGCCGTCTTGGGCCGCTACATCCCTGGGCTCCTGCTGTCCTATTTACTGTGTAAGTATGGCACATCCCTGTGAGCTTGCTCTCCTAGCTTTTCCAGCCACAGCCTACTCTGGGTTTAGGGAGCGGACTTTTATATTTTGGTTCCCTAGGAAATGACCTTTTTATTTTTTTCATGATCTGTTTAGTGTTATGAAAATATCATATTACTGTATAGCAGGCTCCCCACATATGAAGTCCTTATCTTACCAACTCAGCTTGAGAAATTGAAGAGGGTCCACTAACATATATTCCATTACCAGCTATAAAGGACTGTCCGTCCCTATTTAATGAGAGAATTTTTAGAGTCAGTATATATTGTGTAACAGCAAAAACATAACTCTTAGGGGAATCCTCTACTAGCTTCCGTTTACCCTAGAGTACTACCCCCCCGCCCTTGGAGCACAGTTTTATACCTTTAGTTACTTCCTGCTGGCATGAAGTCTGCTTGCTTGAGACTGGAGGAACTGAATGGTTATGGCTGTGGCCATTGCATAGCAGACGCTCACCTGATTTGTTGTGTAATTTCTGAGCCATCGTTACCATTTGACCTTGTTTGTGGCTCAGTGACATACACATGCAAGTGACTACACTGCCTTGTTCTGCCCTCAGTGTGTCAGCTCTGTAGGTGGCTGTGTAAGTGCCTGCCCTCCAACAAAACCTCCCTCGTGTAGTAGGGGAGACTCGTGAAGATGACCAGCAGAACTAAGCATAACTGTCCACAGTAAGCGTCTAAGCCCCTCAGAACACGGTAGCAGAGGGGCAGGTAAGACTGTTCTGTGCAGCCCCTTCTCCATGTTGCCTTATTTCCCACTTCTCTCAGTTATAACTGCCATGATGTGGCCCCTTGCTGTGTACCACCGACTGTGGGACCGAGCCTGTGTGCGACTGAAGCCAGCTCTGCAGCGGCTGGACTTTAGTGTCCGCGGCTATATGATGTCCAAGCAGAGAGCGAGACACCGTAAGTTTTAAAAAGATGCTTCCTTCTACTTGGGCAGTTTGGGGAAGGGAAGGGAAGCCCATAGGTCTGACATAATGGGTCGGTCCTCAAAAGTAGGACAAGTGGGGTGTGGTTAGTGTGTAGGGGATGATAGGTAAAAGTGCTATTCTCTTCCCGGGAAATGGATGCAGGCTTACCAATTTTTCTCATTTGGAATTCAAGACACTCCCATTTTAAACAAATCTGAGACAAGCTCTCCTGTGTTGAATAAAAGACTGTGAAGATATCCCTAGTGTTCGCTGCTTTTTATGAAGCATTTTCTGTATGCCCAAGCACTGTCCTGGCTGCTCTCCATACATCATTTTATTTAACCTTTACAACAACCTTGAGAAGAGGGGGGTATTATCTTCCTTTTCCAGTTGAGAGAATTGAAGCTCCCAGTTATTAACTGGCAGAGTAGGTCTTTTAAACCCCCAAGTCGGGCCTCTTCAGTACTGAGAGCTGCCAAGATGATTTCCAGCTGCTGTCTCAGAAGCCAGCAGAGTACTGGCCTGAGGTCCTCCAACACAGTGGGGACAGTTGCATGAGCTCTTCCTCTCTTGCGGGCTGGTCAGGCTGGGTGTTTCCTTAAACCCTGGCCTTCAAAGAGCCCTGCATCCTCCTGGGGCGGCCAGTTGAATGAGTATCAGTCCTCAAAGGCCTGACTTAACTAAGGCAAGGCATCTGTCTCCCTTTGGCCTCTGCGATAGCGTCTGCTTTCCGCCTTGACATCCACTGTGCCCCTCAACGATCCTGAGAGCTGCTGACAAGCCTGGCAGTTGGTCATTGTCTAGAGCAAAAAGGGTTGGGAGAGGGGCCGGGGGAGGGAGAGCTCTTGGGAGAGAGCTCTTTCTCTTCCGTGTTAACCAGTGTACCTTTCTACTTAGGCTCTGCAACCCACCCTCAGTCTTAGGGCCACATTCAGAGGGGTTGGTTCTCTTAGCTGTTCTCATTTTGTGCCTTCAAAGTCCAAAGCGGGTGGGGGTTTCCCCTCAAGGGAAAGCATCAAGGCCTCGTGCTCTTCCCATGCAGTGCGCCGCAGAGCTCTGCACCTGGAACGAGGTGCGGACCACAGTGACAGCGAAGAGGAGCTTGCTGCCTTCTGTCCTCAGGTATCTTGGGGGTGGGAGCTGCCCCACTAGCTAGTTTTCTTTAGCTCCCTTTCAGCCATCTGGCATCTGGCCCCTCACAGTTAGGCAGTAAACTCACGGCTCACACCCCCCCGCCCCTTGCCCCCGTGAGAGCCCAGGCATGAGCGTAACGGGCGCTCCTGTGAAAGGAGAGCTAGTGTTGTGCTGGGACTTTGTGCATAGATCTCAGTTTGAGCCTGATGACCAGCACACCCTCTTCCATGTCTCCCTTTAACTCCTCCCGTCATGGCAGAACCTCTGGAGCTGGTGTGATCATCTTTTAAAGAGCCCTGCTCACCTTTGGTTGGGCAGTGTGCGTATCCTCCAGACCACCTGTGGAAAGCATTCTCTGGATAAGTTTGCTTAAGAGTAAGTAGCTGGTTGACTCCCAAGACTGCTTTCCTTCATGTACTCAAGATTGACGACTAGGGTGTTTTCCTTGGGGGAGCAACCTAAAAATGGTCAAGACTTAGAAGTCCCCATCCACTCCCAGTTACACTGGTGGCTGAGGGCAGCCTTTAGGGCCCACTAATTAGTAAAGCTTTTCCTGGGGAAGTGCATCTGTTCTCAGTGGCGTCGTCTCTTCATCCTTGTCAATCTTTTCTTTCCTCAGCTGGATGATTCTGCTGTTGCCAGGGAGTTGGCCATCACAGACTCTGAGCACTCGGATGCTGAGGTTTCCTGTACAGACAATGGCACATTCAACCTTTCACGGGGCCAAACACCTCTAACAGAAGGCTCTGAAGGTGAGGTCAACCTTGGATCTGCGTTGATAATGGCTTTGACTGTTCCTTTCAGCTTCCTTGGACACGGGATACTGCCCTCTCCTCTCCCTTGTCCTGAGTAGGGGCCCAGGTGCCAGAGCAGCCCTGGGGGTGTGGCTGCAGCCGGGACGGCATGGCTGCTCTCCTTGGAACCCTCATTTCTGTGGTCGCCTCAGGTTGTAGGTGCATGGGGGGCATAGTGGGAGAAGAGGGGAAGCTCTGGCCAGTGGAGGTCACAGCAGTCTAAGTGGAGGGGAAAAGCTGACCAGCGCCACAGGTTTTAGCGCCCCTACCCGCTTTGATACCCAGGGAGGAAAAACCTGGTTACATAGGACTGACTGTGTGGGGCTGGGGCCAGGCTCTTGCCATGTCTCAGACACCCTTCTATTCTTTCAGACTTAGACGGTCACAGTGATCCAGAGGAATCCTTTGCCAGAGACCTTCCAGACTTCCCTTCCATTAATGTGGACCCTGCTGGCCTGGATGATGAGGATGATACCAGCATCGGGATGCCCAGCCTGACGTACCGCTCCCCACCAGGGGCCGAGGAGCCCCAGGCCCGCCCTGCCGGCCGGGACCAAGCTGCACTGCCGGAGCTCCTGCTTGACGCCCTGCCTGCAGGATCCAACCTTACCAGCAACCTTGCCGGCCTGGTCTCCCAGGGCATGATCCAGCTGGCCCTGTCAGGGGCCTCCCAGCCGGGTCCTTCCGGCCCGCCTCCCCGGAGAGCGACCAGAGGTGTCCTCCGGGCCCCCAGCTCAGACCTGGACACCGATGCTGAGGGGGATGACTTTGAGCTTCTGGATCAGTCAGAGCTGAATCAGCTGGACCCAGCTAGTTCCAGGAGCCACTAAAGCAGAGACTCCTTCTGGGGGTCACTGTGGTTTAGGTTTTTATTCTCCTCATCCCACTAAAGGTGAAGGGGCAAGGGAAGAACCTAGGTCTCATCCCCTGAATTACATGTGTGGGCCTGGTGGCCTGGCTGGTGCTCAGGGGCCTGCTGAAAGAGGGTCCTCGCTTCCCCACCGCCAGCTGGACACCCGTTTCTGAGCCCAGTCAGTGAAGTGAGAGTGCACTTCCTTAGGGGGCGCTCTCCATCGGGATGGTACTTGGGGGGAACAAAGGAGTCGGGGGTATCGGTTCCCCTTTGAGGGGGTGCTGCTGTTTGCTTCTAGGTATGGGTGCTTGGGGGCCCTCAGTGATAGAAGAGCCCTTCGTTTCCTTCCTCCTCCTCCACCTCCCTAGAGGTTCATGTCAGGCAGCAGCTGGAACGGTTGCATTGTCATCCTTCCCTTTTGCTAAGCCATGATTTGATTTGTCTTTTTCTAAGCGAGCTTACCCTTGGGTTCTGCAGAGCAGGCCTGTTCCCTCTGGCCCAGGCCATCCTCATTTCCTGAGGCCTGCCCTCCCGTGCTCTAAATCACTGCTTGTGAAATGGAGGAAATGTGAACATGCTGTGGGGTGGGCCTCTTCTCCATTACCTAGGGCTGTGGGGTCGGCTGGCCGGGAGGGTGAGGGCCTGCCTCTCTCATGGTCTCACCGAGACTGGTGGAGCTGCCTGGTTGTCTTGGTGCTGCTAACCCCTGGCTCCATTTGACCATGAGCCTGAGCAGCTAGCAAAGCAATACCATACCGTACCCATTTCCACGTTCCTGTTCCTCCCCCCCTCTCCTCTGGAGAAGCAATATGCCACGGGGGTTGCCAGAGTAGCACTTTACAGATGGCTCAGTGGCGTTCATCCCCGGAGCCACCAGCTCTTCTTGCACCAGCTCTTCTTACTCCCTATTCAGCTCCTTTAATACCTTTTATATTTCATTGTTTCCCAACTTGGTGGGGACTCTTATGGATGAGCCCATTTAGCAAGAAAATGTAAGGAGCAGAGACCCCTCTAAGGGGTATCTGTTAGACTGCCCTTAGTAAAATCGTGTCAGACAAATAACTAAAATTGATGATTAGTTCTAAACCTGTGCCAGCTCACATCTTCTCTCTGCCGCCCTGATCAGAGCTCAAGCCAAACTCTCCTGACTTTCTCTGCATTAACCCTTTGCTGATCCTCAGGGACCACTCCCCCAACACCCCACACCTGAGTGAGGGATGCTGGACAGAACCCATTTTCATGGGCTCCAGGTGGGAGTGTGCTGACATGTTTGCTCTTGGTTGATGGACAAGGTAGAGGCCAGGAAATGAAAATAGTTAACAGTGAGAAGGTAGAAGAGCTACGTGCCTGTTTCATAGCCACCTTTGTGTGAGGGTTAGGGGTGATGGCATCTCCCCACCTTAGGGTTCACAAACAGATTTTGGACACCTTCTCTCTCAGAGCCCAGATGTCCTAGAGGTGGTCTGTGATGCGGCAAAAAAATGGGAGGCGTGGGGGAAAATGGGAGGTGTGGGAAAGGAGTGGGATTTCGTGTGTTTGCATGAGAGTGTGTAGCTTCAGGCCTTGGGAGTTAGCAAGAGGGAGGGAAGGAAGGAGAGCAAACTCTTTGGAAGGTGTTTCTTGTACATGGGGGATCCTGCTCTGAATCTCCTTAGTCCTCCACTGTGAACTGGGGTGGGGATGGGAGGGGTGCTGGGGAATAAATCTTGTATGAGAACAATTTTTACGAGACTAATGTTGAATGGTGTCCTACCCTTGAGAGGTCTTATTATCTGGTATGCGATTAATTTCAGGAGGTGAGAGCCGCGGAAGAGGAAGCCGAGGTGGCAGGGGCCCACTTGCCTATCCTTATTTTTCCCTTGGGATGGTCAGAACCACCACCAAGGTCTGAGGCCACCATCCCGCTCCCCAGCAGAGCGCCGACATGAGGGTAGACTTGCACTCTCTCGGCCGGCGTCTAACCTGCAGTTCCATCGTTTCTAATTCTTGATACTGCCCCGTAAACGTGTGCAGACAAGCATATTTCAAAGGCTAATGAAATTTTAGGTAACAGAAGTCTTTAAACAGTAACACCGCCCCTCTGGATTCCTTGAGCTGCGGGGACAGCTGCTCTTTGGCCTTCAGCTGACCTCAGAAACTAGAAATGCTTATTTTAGGCTTTGTCCCACTGGTCACTGTGGGCAGGAGTGGAAAGCACCTGCCAGGTGTTGCCGTAAGATGGACCCCACCTAACGGAAACCTAAAAGCTTTGTGGGTTCAGACCAGCTCCCTCCCAACCCTACCTTTCCTTGGCGTTCAAACCAGTGTGAGTTGAGCGCCCCCTGTGTGCGGAGCTCCGTAATGAGCAAACGGGAGGGACGCTATGCAGTACGTCTTCAGGACCGCCCTCCTGCAAAATACCCCTCGTTCCTATTTTACAAACGATAAGACAAACTGGCGAGGAGCCTCGGGCCGTGGGGTAGGACACGTCCCGGTGCTTAACTGCCTTGTGACCTTGAGCCAGCCGCTTGCTCAGCCGGAGGTGACCCAGACTGCGGTTTCTTCCCGTTGGAACTCAGCCCTGCCCTGGGTCACGAGTGCGTAGACTCGTTGGGGCTGGGCCTCGAAACCAAGGCGTTACTTACTACGGCTTTCGTTCCCACGGGGAGGAAGGGAGAGGTTGGGAGCGAGTGCCCCCACCTCCTCCGCACAGACCCGGGGAGCAGGGGGTCGGCCCCGGCCCCCAAGTTCTGAAGAAAAATGAACTACGGTGTCCCAGAAGGGTCGTTTCGTTCCTCGAGACGGCTTCCCCTTCCGCCTGTCACCGCACAAGTGCCGCCCCTCCCAACGCCGGAAGGAGCTGTTGCCCAGAGCAACTGCAACGTCCGGCTTTCCGAGTTTGGCGGCGGGAAAAGGCCATGAGTAAAGGCCGGGCTGAAGCTGCGACTGGAGGTAAGCGGGCCTTGGGAACCGGGGCAGACCCGGAGGGGAGCAGGTGAGGGGCTCGGCTGAGTGAGCCCCCCGCGCCCCTCCCGGTCTCGTCTCTCCCTGTAGCCCCCGGGATCCTTCTGAAGTACTTGGAGGAGCAGAACCGGCCCTACAGCGCCCAGGATGTGTTCGGGAACCTGCAGCGGGAACACGGACTGGGCAAAGCGGTGAGGACCCTCTTCCGGGATTCCTCCCCTTGAGACCCCTCGAATCAGCCTGGGGTCCCGCTCTCTCGAGGCTGCCGTTCTAGCCTTGGGCTTCCTAAGGCTCGTCGCGCGCTGCTGCCTATCACTGGCTGCCCGGCCCGAAGTCCCTCTGATTGCTCCTCACCCTCCTCTCTGCCAGGCGGTGGTGAAGGCGCTGGAGCAGCTGGCCCAGCAAGGCAAGATCAAAGAAAAGATGTACGGCAAGCAGAAGATATATTTTGCGGACCAGGTGAGGGAAGCCCGCGCAGATTATCAGCCGTGTGAGAGCCCAGTATTAGGTGAATCGGCCCCTAGTATTAACTCTCTTTGGGGGAATTGAGGGAGTCCATGAAACTCAGCTGTCTGACGCCGTTAAAAGGGCCCCAGCCATTCTTTAAATTAGCGTGTACTCCCTTGCTATGATCCAAACTTAATGAGATTTCCAAATTTGAAATATAATACATAACAGAAAACCCTGAATTGTTGCTACCAAAATCCATTTCTGCTTGGGAGTTCTTATTCCCAATCATCTAGATTAGAACCACCGTCTGTCAAATGATTTCCCTTGTCTCCACCCCCCCATCCCTAAACACAGATTAATTTTGAATCTCCAGCCCAGACCTCCATCTGGCTGTCTTTCAGATCACTGTGACTAAAGCAGAATGCTTCCTCTCTCAGACTGGCTCCTTTCACATTCTTCTTTCTGAATGGAATCAGCCTTTACCCAGGCCCGAGACTAAGGAGTTATTCTAACTTACCTCACATGGCTAGCCAGCCATCAGGTCCTCTCCTTTCCACCTGCCGTCACTGCTCTCTCTAGTGCAGGTGCTCCTCACCTGTTGCGGTATCCTAACAGGTCCCCTGGCCTCAAACACTGCAGCCAGAGTGATCTGTGTTCATGCAAATCTAGTCATGGCATTTCCCTCAACACTCTGGTGCGCTCTGGAACAGGTAAAAGGCACTTGGAGACTTGGCCCCAGCCTGCTTCCAACCATACTTGTCCCTGTTATTTCTCCATCCGTTAATACTAGACCATTTGTATGGGTTTTACTCCTGTATCCTTTGCTCATTGTCCTTCCACTGCCTAGAGTTTTTCAGTCCCTTCTTCCTCTTCTGCCTGCTTGCCCAACTCACTCTTACTCATCCCTTAGAATTTCACTCAGGCATCACCTTCTCCAGAAACCTTCCCTGAGTGCTGAACGCTCTAATGGCCTCCTTTTCAGGCACTTACCACTAGAGGCGTACTGTGTTATAATTGTCTTTTTACTTGTCTCCCTCATGAAACTGTCCCAGGACAGATCCCGTTTCTCATTCATCTTCCTTTACTTAGCACCCCCACAGTATTTAACATCCAGTAAACATGAAATACTCATTTAACTGAACCAAACCACCATCAAGGCTAATTTTCCTAAAGTAGGTTTCATTATGTTACTGCCCTGTTGGAAGTCTCCTAAAGGAAAAGTTGACAGAATTTTTTCTGTAAAGGACCAGTTAATATTGTTACGCTTTGCAGGCCAGATGGTCCCTTGCCACAATTACACAGCTGTCGTGCCTACTCAAGTCCACCACTGTAGAGCGAAAGCAGCTATGGGTCACATGTAACAAATGGGTGTGGCTGTTTCAATACGTATATTTAAAAAAAAAAATCCACCTGGCAGGATTTGGTTTACAGCCTGTAGTTTGCTCCCTTTTGCTATAAAGGTTTACCTTGCCTTAATGTAGAGTCCAGACTGCCCAGGATGGCATTCACGTCCTTCCTAACCTGCTCCCTGTCACCAACTGAGAAGACCCCCACTGAGCCCTGACACAATCCTTTTCCAGCAGCTGGTTGCTCATGGGAGGGGCTCCTCGGACTTGTGCTAGAGCCCTCCTGTCTTGCCTCTCTGCCTGTCCAGATTCTTCCTATTGCGGAAGCCCCCAATTTTGGTATTACCACTTTGCAAAGAATGTTCCTTTACTCCTTCAGCCCAGTGAGAGGTTTAACCACTAAGCTGAAAGATATTTGTCCTATTTAGTATCCTGCCAACATGGAAACCCCTTGAGGACAGGCATTAGCTTTCAACTTTGATAGCCTTTTGTTGGACCCGGCACTAAATTGAATGATTCCTCGAAAGTGCACTCCCGCTATTTTCCCAGACCCTTTGGAAGGTTGGGGAGTCCCAGTTCTAAAGTAACATGAATGTTGCCTTTCTAGACATGGGTTTCCACCCTGTGCCACACATCAGCCCCCTTTGCGTTTTCTTCTTGTCTTTGGCAGGACCAGTTTGACGTGGTGAGTGATGCCGACCTCCAAAGCCTGGATGCCAAAATTGTGGCCCTCACGGCCAAGGTGCAGAGCTTGCAGCAGAGCTGCCGCCACATGGAGGCTGGTAGGAGGCTGGTAGGAGGCTGGTAGGAGGCTGGTAGGAACGGGCTGGGGAGGAGGGCGCCCCTAGCGCCAGGGGCGGTCGAGAGTCAGGAGTTACTAGGGGAGCTGTTGACTCTTGCAGTGAAGATCCCTTTGCAGGGCTGCCACATTACATTAAAAGAAATGCATGACTGTTAATGACTTTTGAAATATGCATTTGCTTTCTTTACCATGATTATCGGTGTGATCGTCCCACACTTCCCTTTATTCCGAGCTCTTTTAACTGGCTACAGCTAACAGTCTGTTTAGCCTCACAGTGGACCACTGCTTACTTGTAGATGGAGGAGGAAAGGAAACTATTGGGTTGGCCAAAAAGTCCATTTAGTTTTTTCTGTAAAGTAAAAGACACTTTTTTCATTTTCACTAATAACTTTACGTCACCTATCTCCTGCTATGGGCTTCTGGTGGGTAGAAGCCAGGGGTGTTGCTAAGCATATTCCAATGCATAAGACAGCCTCACAGCAAAGAATTACTTGGCCAAAATGTCAGTAGTACCAAGAAACTTTGTAGACCACTTTTGACACTTTCGATCAGTCACAGCATCTTCTCCATGTGCTGCACAAATCCTTTTTGTGCCTTTCAGTGGTGTCTTCACCTTTCTTGAAATAATAAAGCATAATATGCTGAAAATGTGGTGTTATTTTCTTCCATCTTCAATGGTAAAATGGCTGCACAAAAATTTACCAGTTTTGATTTTCTTCCCCAATGAACGCTGATATGATGACTGTCACAATGCAATCTAACAAAATTGTTTCAGATAAAGTTAAAGACAACTAAGCACTACTAGAGCCATAGTACGGAAAACTAAACGAAATTTGGGGCTAACCCAATAAAGTGGTAATTCTGTAAATTTTAATCTTTCCTGAGCATTTTTGGAATAAGGGGCCCATTCTGGATCCCAAGTGTAGAACCCAGAGCGAGTGGAGGCCTCATTCCCTACCTCAGGGAGCACCCGCTGGGAAAGACACCCCTTTCCTTGGGGGATAGCAAGTGACCGCAGGGAGATGTGGTTTCAGAGCTCAAGGAGTTGAATAGTGCCCTGACAACACCGGAGATGCAGAAAGAGATCCAGGAGTTAAAAAAGGAATGTGCTGGCTATACTGAGAGACTGAAGAACATCAAAGCAGCCACCAACCATGTGACCCCAGAAGAGAAGGAGCAGGTGGGTTAGGAGGGAGGGCCTCTTGTGCAGGGAACTGAGGATGAGGGTTGACCCCAGTGAATGCTGACTGCTGTGGGGCCAAGGGCTTAACGGAACCTGCTTCCTCCATCCAGGTGTACAGAGAGAAGCAGGAGTACTGCAAGGAGTGGAGGAGGCGCAAGAGGATGGTATGTGCAGAACTCCAGGGCAGGCCCCGGAAACGGCAGCCCCCAGAGAAACTGCCGCCCGATATCGCGCGTGCGTCAGACAGTGCCTGGTACTGCCCCTCTGCAAAGTGGTTTTGTTTCTTCGCAGGCGTCAGAGCTGTGTGATGCGATCCTTGAAGGGTACCCCAAGAGCAAGAAGCAGTTCTTTGTAAGTGGTTCTCGCTCCTTTCCTTGCTGCCCTGGGATTTTTGTGGAGGCCTCCCTCACCTGTCTCATTGCCCCACAGGAGGAAGTTGGGATAGAGACAGATGAAGATTACAACGTCAAGCTCCCAGACCCCTGAGAGCTCCCGTGGCAGGACTGGGGGATGGGGAGAGATGTCCCGGACTGGCTGCCCTGTTTAGGCCGGGTTTTTTGTTGTTACTGCTGCTGCTTTCCACCGTTGAGCAGAACAGTTAGGAGTGGGCATAAACCAGAGTAGTAGGCAGAGAGGGTGGGGAGCGCTAGCTGCCCAGAGTGGATGGTTATGCTCATTACATTGTCCACATTTCAAACGCATGAGCTTAACACTTAGATTTGGAACAAAGTTAAAGGAAAGCATTTGGCAATATTTATTGTAATATAATCTGATATAAAAATATTTAATTTCCTCTGGATAGTCAAACCTCCCAGATATCAAACCTGAGGAAGGCAAAAGGGAGCTTGGGGGACAAGGGTAGAGAGAGGCTGTCATACACAGCATTCGAGGGCGCAGGGCCGCAGCGCATGCTATGTACCCCCGGAGGCCTCCAGCTGCCCCCAGTCCTGGGATAGATGCAGGCGGCCCTGAGGGGCGGTGGAGCCCCAGGCGCACCTGACAGAAGCTGGGAGCGGTTCTGAGGCCCAGCTAATTTTCTAAAATTATAACTTTAGCAAAATTGTGTTGTTGGTATTTAGAAAAATAAAAACTTTAACATGTGGTGCTGTGTCACACTGGACTTTGCTGTGCAGTGCTACCACCTGTGGGGACAGAGAGCAGTAGGTGGGGAGGTTGCTTCTCCACTGCCCACAGCAGAGGAGGAAGGTGAACGGGCGGAAGGCAGGAGCAAGGGCCGCGCAGCCCTGCCCTGAGCTGGCCCGAAAGCTGTGGCTTTACCTGGGGCTGACCAGGCAGCTCTAGCTTAGGCGTGAACGGCCTTTCACCCTTTGTAGCTGTGGAAGTGCTTCCTCTTATCCTTTCCTCCCGTCCGTCTACTGCCAAAATGGCCAAACTTGGGCCAGTTATCACCTAAGAGACCAAAACAGGCAAACAGTAGTTTCTAAATATGTGTAGATCATGTGCCAAAATTTGAAACCTGAGGCTTAGGAGAAGGGGGGCACCCAGAGCAGACCCCCATTCTGAGGACTTCAGTGGGAAGGGTGGGGGAAAACTGGGTAGGCTCGAGCTCTATGGTCAATATAATAAATTAATCATAAACTTTCACAAAACAAACACCCCAGCCCCACTAAGAACAAGGCGGGACAAGGGAACCAAACATCAAGGAGAAACCAGCTGACTGGCCTAAGGTGTCGCAGTCCGATCTCAGGCCCAGTGGCTCTGTGACCAAGTAGGAGACTCAAGGCCTCTTGCTGGCTAGTCTGCAGGTCAGTAAAGCTGGTTCTTCAGTTGGTGCAGGACACCAATCACGATCTCCCGTAGGGTCTGTTAGGGGTAGCAGAAGGAGAGAGACGCTGCTCAGGTGAGGGCACAGAGCTCAGGTGAGGGCACAGAGCTGTCTGTGACACCTGCCTAGACTGGGTGTGCTCCCTAGAGTAAAAGCTGCCCCCGGGAAGCACTGGTGTCTACAGTTTATTTTGCAATGCCCCCAAAACAGGATGGAAGGATGGGCAGCTATGTGATAAAGCAAGTATAAAGAATTTAATGGTAGAATATAGGTATGGGGTCCCCAACCCCCAGGCTCCAGACCAGTACCAGTCTGGCCTGTTAGGAACCAGGCTTCACAGCGGGCGAGCAGCGGTCTGCAGGCATTGCCACCTGAGCTCTGCCCCGGTGCCCCCGCTCCCCCTGTCCCTGGAAAGAGGTTGGGGACCGATGCCTTAGGTAATAGATATGTAAAATGTTCGTTGTAAATTCTCTTAACGTTCCAGTATGTTTAAAGTGTCTCACAATAAAAATGTTGAGAAACAAAAAAGCAAGCAAGACTCTCAGATACACGTTCAAGTCTCAGAAAAAGTGACCAGTCCTCAAAAGCATAAGACTCAAGTTTAATACCATTAACAAACCGCACCATTACAAATAATAAGCCCTAGGAAAAACTACTAGGTCCAGGGTTGGGGGGGCCAGAAATCTTTCTAAAACCCCAGGTAATTCTGCTTCAAGTCATGGAGACTTAAATACTGGGCAGCCAAGGAGTGACTGAAGTGGCCACAACGGGGGCTAAACCAAGGCCAGACTTAATCTTGCAGGAATAAGTGCTAAGACTTGACACAACCATAAAAGGAAAATCTGGACTTGAGAAAGCAACGGGGGGAACAAGAGTACTTAAAGTTGTAGAAACACCCTGAAGAAACCTACAATCTACTACCTGCTTTTCTGAAAATGGCTTGGGTCACGTGGCCTGAGGTGGGGGAGAAGACCCCAGGCCCCATACCTGAGGCTTACAGTGCTCCTCAATCCAGCTGAAGACGCAGGCCGACAGCTCCTGGAAGCTGGCCATGGAGATGGAGGCATTGAAGGACTGGAACAGGGAGTCCATGATGCCTTGAAACACGTTGAACTTGACCTGGTCAGAGACCTGGTCCTCCCCCTCATGGGGGTTATCCTGGTGTGCCTTCACAATCTGCTCATAGTTCCTGAAAGCAAGCAGGCCAGGGCTAAGGTGCCAGCTAGGGCAGCTCCAGCAGGCCAGGAAGCGTAACCGGTGCCCCTACAAGCCACCCCCCCGCCCGGAAGGGGATTCCTGGAGAGCCTGTGGGATACACTCATCAGCTAAATATTGCTTATGGGTCAAAAACGGAGAACTCTTCTCCAACCTTCCTTTCATTCACCCAACAGGCTTTCCAGTGTTTGCTACGTGTCAGGGACTTTGGGATACAGAGTCCTGCTTCTGTGTGACCACTTGAGGGAGTGAGAGTATTATCTGATGTGGCCTTTGACCTGAATGAAGTTGGCCTCAGTCCCCTCAGAAGCCCTGGTTCCCACAGTTCAGCACCCCCTTACACTTTCATGATCTTTAGGGCCATGACGTCCTTGCGGAGTGTGGACACCTCCTCCTCCTGCTTTTTCTTCTCCTTGTGTAAAAACTGGATGTAGTCAATAGCTAGGGTGGGGTGGGAAAAGGGGTGGGCACAGAGGTCTCAACCAGAGGACGAGGCTGCCCTTGTCTCCTCTTTCCCCCTACCCCAGCTCTCCCGCTGCAACCGCCCCGCCAGGGCCAGGCTGGAAGCGGGCCTGAGGCCAGCCTCCTCACAGCCCAACCCCTCCGGTGCGCGCCCTGGCCATACTCTTCTGTAGAACGATGGCTTTGCTGAGCTTCTGGGAGCCGATGGAGAAGTCCTGCTGCTGGCAGGTGGGGACGATGGTCTGCAGGTCATCATAGCCTCTCTGTGGAGAGAACAAGGGAAACAGGTTCCTTACCTTGGAGGAGTTATTGCAGACTGGCACAAAGCTTTTCTTCCATGACACCAAGTTCTATGCTTACAACTAAAGGGGTGAGGGGCTGGAAGGAAGGAGGTGCTTCATGTCCAGGGACTAGACTAGCTGTCCCCAGGCCGCTTGGGACCGTCTGATGGGATCAGGGCACAATGAATCTGAAATATCCAGGGCCCTCCTGGGCTGGCTGAGGTCTCCCCAGTCACCTTGATGGCATCCCTCCTCTTCTGTTCAGCCTGAGTGTGTGCTCGCCGCCGCCGGTCCTTGTAGGACTCCTTGTAGGACTCCTGGTGGTAATCACTGTCCTCGTCATCTATACTCAAGAGTTAGGGGCAGGAAGAGGTCATTCTGGGGCCCAGCAAGGCCCAGCTAGTCCACCCTTCCCTAACTGGGGAAAAATGTGCCCAGATGGCAGATGAACATGGGAACCTAATATTCGCCATGAGGTGAAAGATGGTGCCACCCTGTGTCTGGCGCTAAGGCCCTAGCAGCCCACGTAGATGGCTGGAGCTCCCTGTCTAAGAAAGATACTAAAATGATGGCATATCTGAGCCCCGCCAGGTTGGGGGCTGTTGCTGCCTACCTGTGTTGGGGACGGAAGAGGCACTGGTGGAACCGATGCTATTAGCTCTGGACACTACACTCCCTTTGCGGGTGCCTTCTACAAAAAGCCCTGGAAAAGAGAGGCCCCAGTCACTAAGGGGTAAGGTGAGGGGAACACTGCTGGCCCTTCGGACACCTGTGGGCACAATGGCTCCCTGATCCTTAAGTGCTGGCCTTTCCCCTTAAACTCAAAAGCCAGCCACATTTGGCCACCCACTTCCTGTGGGGCCATGCTGCGATGCCCCCGTCCCTAGTGTCTACACTGCTCCTGGCCTGCAATGATGCTTCTTGGCTTCACAAAGTAACATCTGGGCTTGATGCGGGCTGTCACTATTTCCATCACTTCCCTGCTCCAGAACAGTGGGAACTAGGTGGCACGCTCGCACACTTCCAGCTCTTGTCCTCCAGCTCCTCCCTTACTGTCTCAGGTTCAGGGACAGTGGACTGGTCAGGTGTGGCTGACAAGGCCAATCGAATCTACCGGGCTGAAGCGGGAGTATCAGTCACTCCACAGCTGAAGCCGAGAGGGGAGGCACTCACCGGGGTCCAGGCTGTTGTCGCTGTAGGCATACTCCACCTGCGGCACCGAGTAAGGAGAAAAGCTCATCAGACCTCCACCCCGGAGGAAGTCGCCACCATTCACTCCGCGTGCACGCGTACGCACACACACGGACGCGCAGGCAACGAAAGGACAGGCACACACGTGCAGGCAATTACAGGATTCACCCCAGAGCCAAACCTGCTTAGTTCGTGGGAGCGCCGCCCCCGGTATGATCCTGCCCGCCCCACACTTCCACTTCCTCAGTCCCAAACCCCGTACCCTCACACTGGCACACACAAGCCTCAGTCATCTCCCCACCTTGGAACGCGCCGGGGGTGAGCTGTCTTCTCTGCAGCCCCTGGGCCCAGAGAGCGAAGGTAGGGGTACTTTGGGGACCGGAGGAACTTCCCTCATCTTCCGGGCCCCCTACGTGCACGCACCCGACCCGTCCTCCCCTCACCGGCGTGCTCGCCCACGGGGCTTGCCTTGACCCAGGGGTCCTCCGGGGAGGCGCCGGGTTCCGTCATCTCCTACCCACCGCACCGGAAATCAACTAGCGGGTGCGCGCGCGCCTCGCCGCGAGGGCACGCGAGGCGCACCCATGTGACCCAAACCTACCAATCTGCGACCAAAGGCAAGGGGCGGGGCGAGGGTGGCGCGCGTGCGCGGCGCGAGGAAACGGATCCTGCCGGGTGGGCTGACGCTGCCGTTTGGGTTGACACAGGAGCCTTTGGAGGCGTCACCCTGTTGTTCTCTCCTTTCCTTGGGGTTGATGACGTGAAATGAGGTCCCTTCAAAAGGCTTGTTCTAGTAGTGTTGCAGATAGTTGTGCATACCCGCACTACCTGTCCGCTCCCGGGGACGCCTTTCCCCGGGGCCCGCCAGGCCACGTCGACTTGTAGTCCTGGCCTCCTCATCCCACTTCACCGGGCTGCAGGCTCTGTGATGGCACAGGCCCGCCTGGCTTGTTAAAGGATGTCTTCCAACACCCAACGCAGCGTCTGGCTGGATACTTGTGGAATTAACGCTATCAAAGGGCCTGTTAGCCAAATTATGCTACTTTATAGGTAAGGAAACTGAGGAACCTAGAAAGTGTGTAACTTGTACAAATGCGCACAGCCAGTGATAGGGCCAAGGCTGGCCTCCGTCGACTAGCTCCAAAGGCCATGCTCTTAACCACTGTGCTGCTGGCTTCCAGTTCAGGCCTGAGCCCAGTGCCTGTAGCTCAAGGGCCCCAAAGATACCCAGAGGCATTGCAACAGGAAGCAGACACCATATAGGCAGCACCTGCAAACATTCACCTTTAATTCTGTTCAAATTTCCAGTGATTGCCTTCCCCTGCCGCCCCCCACCCAGCCCGCCCATGGCCCCAACCGTAAGTATCGCAGACACTGGTAGGTAATGGGGTTGGAATGCCAGAGGAGCCTGTTCTCCTGTGGACCACATCATCAGTGTTGGCCGGACACTGGCAGGCTGGGTAGGCTTCCCATGTCCGCCAGGCCCTGCCCTGCCCGGCTTAGCTCAGAGCCCCCTGGGCCCAAGCTCCAGGGTGACCACTGAAGCCCCCATTGCTCCTCACCACTGGATCTCTCGTCAGCTCCAGGGCCAATCTGGCCCCACAGAAAACTCATTGTCAGTCATGACCTGATGGCATCTAGTGGATGCGCTTCTGCAGGAGGGCCCAGGCTTCCTCCACCTTTGGGCGAGCCAGAATGTTGGGAGGAAGAGAGGTTGGAGTCAGGCGGGAATCCACTGGAGACTCCCCCGCCCCGCCCCCCACCACTCCTACAACCCAGCCTTTCCCTGGGCACCAACCTGACGCTGGGTGACATGGGGCTCCCATAAGGTGCTTAGCACCACGTGGCTCTGGTCCACAAGCTGCTGCCCACTCATCTGGCTCTGCAGCCGGCTTTGAGCTGCGGCCTCACTCAGGCCATCCCTCTCCACAATTCGTCTTACAGCCTGGATACAGACATGACATTTGCTGGACCCCTGGCTTAGAGCAGTCTGCAGTCTGCAGTGGAGATGGGGTGGCAAGTGGGCTCTAGATACCTCAGTCTCAGGGATGACAATGGTCCACACCTCATGCACCATGTTCTGCCAGCCAGCTTCGAGTAGCACGGCGGCTTCAACCACGCATACACGCTTTCCTAAAGGGAGACCCCAGTCACTGCAAGCAGTACCCCGCCACTTGCTAGCTGTCAGAGAGCCAATGAAACACAGTTCTCGGCAAAGTGGACGGTCTGGCTTGGAGTGGGGAAACTCTTCGGAAAGGCATGTGCTCAACTGTGCCCCTCGGCCAGTCCCATCATCCTTCCCACTCACCCTCAGCCACAGCCCGATCCATCTCCTCTCGGGCCAGCTTTGCGATAACTGGCCACGTAATGTCCGTGAGCATCTTCAGCTGCTTCTGAGGAGCAGGACAGAGGGAGTGGGCTGTGGTTACCTCCCCGTGGAGAAGGAGCCAGCCCGAGAGATGAGGTAGTTGGGAATAGATAAATGGAAATTGGCACTTTGAGCCAGACCAGAGAGGTCCACTGGATCCCAACCCCTGGGTCTACAGAAGCTGAGAACCTTTGGAGAGGTGTGTATTTACCTTGTTCCCAAAAACCCGGCTGCCCAGGACCTTCCTGTTGATAGTGCCATCTTTATGGAGAATATCTAGGTGACAGAGACAGGTCTGGGCAAGGAGACCGGGCCAGCCCCTCACTTCAGGCCTCCTTCAGTCCTCTCCAGTTGTTACCTGTGCCAAAGGTTTCCAACACGGGCTGGTAGGCAGGACCATCTGGGGCATAGGCCCGATGGCCGAGTTGGTCACTGTCGATGACGAAAGCCCCCAGGCCCCTCAACCGCTGAGCCACTGAGCTCTTCCCAGAGCCACTGATGCCCGTCAGCCCAATCACATAGAGACCTGGGGGGAGCTCTGGACTTTTCTGGGGGTAGACAAGAGGAACCCTAGTTACCAGGGTCCTCAGGCCCATGCTTGCGCTAAATCCTTCAGTCTCTACCTTCCAGCATATCAGCCCACCCAAGCAGGGGGGAGGAAGGGAGGACATGCTTACATGTGGAGGCCGAAGCAGTTTTCCCAGCATTCGCTGGCGGAAGCTAGAGGAGCTGACTTTGTCCTCTTCATTTTCCCTGTGGCTTAGGTCCTTCAGTAACTGGATCTGGTACAAGGCAAGCTCTTCCAGGCCCTGAAGTAGAGGAGGAGGGGTGAGGAGAGGGAAGGAGGGCTGAGATGAAGAAGGGCAAACAATGACACCCAACTTGCCCCCTTTATCCTCCCTATTTACCCCAGAGGTAGAGCTTGCTTCAGAGGACAGCCTGGGAACAAGTTCCTCCTTCCCTCTTTCTACCACCATGAGCCCTCTCTTCTGTCCTCTGGGGTCATGGTACTTCCAACAGCCCCCCGACCGTGGCCCTCCCCATCCCCATCCACTCCCTCTGCCAATCTCCCTCGGGTTACATTCTCAAGGCGGAAGCGGTTGACGGCCATCCCCCCTCGATAGGTCTCCTCGCTGACCGCCAGGAACTCCAGGGAAGGGTCAGAGCCAGCAGGCCCATAGGGGTCCAGCAGGGGTACGATATCAAAATTCAAGGAGGGCTTGATGTCCACCAGGAACTCACTCAGATGTTCCACACGTTCTGCATAGGGTTGGAGCAGCTCAGGGAGCAACTTGCCTGAGGAAGGAGCCCAGAACAGTGAGGTCTTTTTACTGGGGAGGAAAAGTATGGGCCAGGTTGGGGAAGAGTGTCCCTAAACATCCTATCTCCTGAGGCAGGTGGCAGGAAGAAAGGGCTAAGCCGGGAAGCAGTCTGTGATGGGGAAGCTATGAAGGGAAGGCAGCAGGGAAGCACAATAGTCCCTGCAAGGGCTGGCGTGTGTCCACAGAACTAGCAGTACCAGTGGGCATCAGAACCCGACAGAGACTTTCAAGAACCTTATCGTTTTCAAGTCCCCTCTTATTGTCTCTGCTACCACTACCTACAATTCACTCATCCATTTATTCCCAGGGTCTCAAACTTTAGGTTTCCTCACCTGGAGAACTTGTTAAAAGTGCAGATTCCTTGGCTCCACATTTGGGGATTCTGATTGAGTGGTGTCTAAACCACACACTGAGAAAGCTGCTTTTATTCACTTAACAAAATTTCCTTAGCACCAACTGAGTGCTGGGCACTGTGTGTGACATTTGGGAGGGGTGGAAAGTAATGGATGGCCCCACCCTTTCTCAATCTTGCATTGGCAGGTGCAAGGAGTTTTGGGGGTCCTCCACCACCCTAATCCAGTGTCTCGCCCACTCACTCTTCAACAGGTCTTTGTCTGCTACTCCCACCACAAGCCGCTCCTGGGCCAGGATGCACGCAACACTGAGCAACACCTTGTGGGCATTGTGCAGGCGGTCAAACGTGCCACCCACAGCCCCGCGACGGTAGCCACGCACGGGCTGCTTTGGAGATCGGGCCACGGGGTAGGATGGCCTAATAGTGGAGGGTAAAGGGTCTTCCATGGGCTCCATAGGCAGCTCTCCAGGCCCATAATCAGGGTATAGTAGCACTGAAGCAAGTTGTGGACAACAACTGTAACAGCTGGTGGCATAACGCTCTAGTTGCTGTTTGACCGGGTTGTACTGGCTTCCATCCAGGGTCTGGAAGTCAGTCAGCACCACCTCCGGCGGGTGGGCCAGGTTCTGGACTGAGCTGGCTGGGGGAGGGAGAAAGCTGCTCTTGGTTCGGATATTGGTCAGCAGGATTCTGATGTCCAGGTTCGTGTGCATGTTGGCGCCAGCATATAAGTGCGTGATGAAATCGAGAACCTCAAACGTGGCCTGCACGGGGCTGGACTGGGGCTGAGCCGGGCCCTCCAGGCTCATGCCCGGCTGCAGGTGTACATAGAGTGTGTGATTCACCAACCGGGACGCAGAGATCAGGATAGGGACCAGGCGACGGGCCAGGGAGGTCAGCGGCGTCGTCAGCACCAGAAGGCCCGACCGGAATAAGGCCATGCTGCCTACGCCTGCAGACAGTCGGAGACCAGTAGAGGGTGACTGAGGGGGATGTGCCTGAGGTCGATATCTGTAGGGGACCCTGGACCCAAGGCAGGGAGCAGGGAGCGAGGGTGAGATCTGTGCCAATCGAGAGGAACCCAGGGGCGGGGATGGGGACAGGGCATAGTACACCACGCCTCGGGGCTGTGCTGTAAGACTCCGTTTCCTTATCTGTAAGACGGGGAGGTGAGCTTGCTGAACTGAACCGAAATTCTGGGAGAGAAAACTGAACAGGAGCCCCTGAGTCATAGGGCTGGGGATCCAGAAATTTTGGGCCCTCCTGCTAAGCTGCACCAGGGTCTTCAAGGAATCAAAGGAGGGGACTAAAGGCAAACACTCAGGCTTGGCGAGATCCCCTACTTACTGATACCTCCGGGGTTTGGTTCCACTTTCAACACCACAGAAGACTTCCCCGGATGCAACACGGAAAGACTAATTTAGCAACTGTGACTGCGAGCTACGGAATCCGAGAAAGGCCAAAATGTCCGTTTCTGTCCGGAGTGGAATTCTCGCGAAACTTCTAAGGGGGCGGGGCGGGGCGGAGTTGGGAAGTTTGGGAAATGGATGAACCCTGCTTT